TGAACTAGTCTAAATCCGCCCCTGGTTTTATAGCTTAGAAGGTAAGCTAAGTGAAAGTGAAACTGAATTTAAAAAACTATGCGTATTGATCGTTTTCAACCATTCCCATGAGATTCAAAAGATAAAAGACCGGCGGCCATGTTAGAGGAATGAACAATAGATACTAATAAGAAATCCTTTGTTAAAGTTCCTCCAAGATGGCCGCTGTGATAAAACCGGCAAACTGAGAATATAGGATTTGTTTTGAGTCTCAAGTCTCTTGAATTCCAAAAATTGATATGCATTATTGTATGGAGCCGAATGGAGTTAGTAGGGATCGCTATAGAATTTTGATTTTTTYTATCCTCYAGTCGGAGATGCATTTTCATGAACTGCAAGGTGTCTCTAATGGTTACCTGATCCCCTTGAACCAAACTTCTGGTAGCAGTATTTTCTGTAGCTACAGTCTCAGCACGAAAAGGTATTCCATCATTCCCAACAAAYGAAAGAATGTTCATAGCTCTGTCAAACGAATAGGTCACGTGACGTTTATCTTGGTTGTTAACCATTTTTATGAAGCCATTCCAATCGTATCTGGTGCTTACATTTGTCGATACATCGCCATCTTCATTTAAAGTGATTGTTTCCTCTAGAAAACCCGTGTCGGGGTTGAACAAATATCGTATTTGTTCRCCACTAGGATACGTAACTCTTGCTATGTCACGCTTGTCGTTGTATGTGTAGCTTGTAGTTTTGTCTTGAACAGTGACTGATGTAAGAAGCGGTACTTGGCTGTCATAGATGTATATGCTAAGAAAAATGATACGTGCTTTAGCCAATGAGGTGTGTCATTAGTTATCAGGGCAAAGTGATTACAAAGTATATGTTATTTCTATACAACACCAGAGTCGGAGTTTTTAGAACAAAGCATTTTTTGTAGGTTCAAAATTAATGTTTCTCTACTTTCTTATTGTGTGAAAATATAACCATGAATACAGAATGAATGGATGTCCATTGTCACCGTAGCATGATATCAGTTTTTAGATCCAAGTGCGCTTTTGCATACAGCTTGCTGGGCTGCGTGCGGAAATTCGTGGATAGAACTTTGCCCGGAGCAATTCATGATKTAACAGGTTGAAGTTGTAAGCACAAATATTATCATATGACCCCTATTTCGGCCCTACGCGCGCTCTTAAAAAGCCTTTGGAAAATGGTCCGTACGCCTTTTCGCGACAGGTCCGTACAAACCCGTATTTTCCCGGCTTGAAGTTCCGCGCGCTTTTATTTCTTACACGTTCCCTGCTATGCAATTACCTCCTCGTGGTAATTATTGCACCGTCCCTAAATGGAATACAGGCATGCTTCAGAATGYACCTAAACACAGTTATACTGATTCTGTTTATAATTACTATTTACTTGCCTGATAATTCGCTCACCATTAGCTTTGACTAGTGTAGCCTTCCTTATTAAATTTCGAGAGTTCAATTCCAAGGTCATCGTTCCACCGTTTGAATGCTTCATCTGYTTGGGTTTTCCATCAGAGGTATAAGATGACAATGTGATATTCTCGTTTGGTGCGCCCAGGTTACGTATTGCCTTTAATGTCTTRCTTTGCAGATCGAAGACAAAAATATCTGAATTGTCTTTCTCAATGTTGGTTAAAGTAAGGTCTAAAATACAAAAATATATTGAACCTGATTAGTGAGCACAGGGGCGGATTGAGAGAAGATGAGCTTGTCTCTCCATTTTTGGYCGAGTTATGTACCTGAAGATTCATTTTTTTTTTTCGTTTTCTATCAATAATGACCTGCATATTGCCTAATATCGCTTAAAATTTTTCAAGAGAAATGTATGAATAAACCGACATTCACAAATGTCACCTAATATTGCATCTATTTCTTGCAATCGTGAACCGAAGATTACGCATTGATTCAAACTGTTTTAGAACTTACCGTCGCCTTCCAATATGATGTTGCCTCCTTTCTCCCCTGCGTAKATGTTCTTTTGAACCAAACGGAAAACCTTTTCTTCTCTCTTGTACATTATCGATATAAGAGTGTCATTYGTTTGAATCATTCTTATTTCCCTGATAAAAAATTGTACATAATGATTAAAACAATCAGTTACGATTACATTGGGTATCACTGTTCACATTGTGAGAATATTAACGTTTACARTGACAGCCAAATGCAACATTCACAATAAAGAAATTAAATGGTAATTGGTTTATCAGGACTAAAAAAGAGCCGCCACGAACACGTCAATCATGGTATCAACAGAAATGTCATTTGTGATATATTTCAAAAAAACATGTATTACACTCACCACCACGGGGCAATCCATCCATACCCAAATACTCCGCTCTCTCGACGCACCGTTAATAAGGGGGTGTAAATGCGTTGTAGCTCCAGAACTAACAAATTTGATTCTCCTTGATCAGCCATATCACTAATATCAATAAGAGTTCGACCTGAAAATAATGATAGCTTCAATACCAGAAGCTTACACAGAGATTGCATTGGAGGATTCGAAAAAAATGGAGTTAATGTTATTTCTTACCGCTTTGAAGTCCATTAGCAAAATTCAACTGGAAGTCAATGAAATCCCTTACCAAGAACACTCGCCGCCCAGCTACACTCATTTGTGTAGCAATGCCAGATAACCGTCGGTTAAAAGACCTTTGTGTTGTACCTGTAGATTTTAAAAAATTATTCCATACAGGTTCCCAAAGATCGCTAGTTAAATTCTTTGGTTTCAGCTCTTCTTTTCTTTCCATAAATATATGTGGCTCATCATTGTTTCGCAGTGATATTATATTGAGGTCCGATTTTCCAGTTCCTGTCCCAGTTTTATGGATTGTTTGAAATAGCAATTGCCCTGACATCCCAGGTGGAATAATTC